GTGCACTCCATTTACACTACCACAGTCTGTAAAAAATTACAATAATATCGCATACATACATATATGTATTAGACCTCAACCGATCAGCTTCACACATATACAAGATAGGATTGCAAGCTGTTACAAATCAAGGGAATGTAAACCAAAATGCTGAGAAATAAATAGATATTGTACCATATCATATCGAAGTTTATATCTAACTTTCTGACGAACACACTTAAAAGGATACCTTCGAAATAGAACTTCAAGCACTCATTAGAATCACAAATACCATCAACATCTTGCGTGATTCCTACTATAAATCTAAATAAAAGTATAGCTTCATTTGACATCACTAAGAACTAAGAGGGCTTTGGCATGCTAAAGATAATTAATTGTTATGGCACCCACTGGTTGTATATAAAGACTAAACAGCGATTCCGATTCATGCCATTCGCCATTCACCGCTTACTAGAATTCTTAATAGAGATTTATTAATTGTGCTTTACAGCAGCACTATTTTAAAAGGCCAGTTTTCAACAACAAGATAGGAAGTGTCAATAGTTAAGAATGCAGAAAATGTAAGGCAAACTACAGAAAACAATCCAGACTTTGGAACCTATCATTTCGAAGTTCATATCCTGCATTTTCACATACAAGCTCAAAATACTTGGTGCCTCCAAGTAAAAAAAGTACATAATATATGAAGAAATTAAAGGGTGGTTTAAAAATGAAGCTTAAGCACTTATGAGAATCAAAAAAGTGTCGACATCACTCATGATATCATCATAGAAGTCCGTCTTCATTTGATATCACTACGGACAAATAGGTCTTTGACATGTTGAAGATAATTGATTGTTACTGAATGTGTGTGTAGCATAAAAAGGTTGAACACCGATACCGTACCTTACCATTCGTCTTTTAATACTGGTAACAATTTACCAAATGATGAAAAAGATATCTACTTGTGCTTTACTGCAACACTATTTTTGTTGGCAAGAACCGAGTCGTAGTAGCTTGAGGTTTTAAAACTACTGGTCTATCTTTGACTTACGGTCAGTCAGATTAACCGAACCTAAACTAAGTGATGTATATAATAATTTTGCTCAATTTGTTGACTAGATCTAAAGGTAATAACGACAATCACTCATTACTCAATGATATCATTAGTGCAATAAGTAGCTGACCAAAAAGAGAGATAAAATTTTATAGAAAAATTGAACCGAAAAATAGTTGGATGTTCCACAATTTGTCGCATTAATTTATCACAAATTTATCATATAATTGGACTGTGAATTGAACCATTTCTATTTTGTTATTTTTCTAATATATTTACATATATTCATAGGTTGACATAAACTATAGCAGTATGGAGGACAACAGTTTAACATTTTTCTTCGGTAAGGTTTAGTTATTAACACGAAATATTTACTAAGGTCTGTCACACTGACGAAAAGTTCAAAACCTTCTAATTTCTTATTTTAGTCCGAAATAATTACTGTCTATGATATTATAGGTAGTTTAAAAGTTCAGTGGTTTTGGATTCTCATGTCCAATAACAAAAATAAACAATCTATTTACAAGAAATTGTTTCATAAGAATCAATTTATCACAAAAATGTTGAAATATTATTTCATATATAATCTTATTATACAACCCTCGTCAACAAACGCCTCGCTTTATGGGTGTAATAATTGTGCTTCTAGTGTCATAATTTATTAATCAGTCCGGTAATAAATCGCACAGATAATAAAAATGGATAAACGAATTGTAAGTGTTCAACTTAAAGTTCACAAGTCAAGAGAAATTCATAGCAGCCTTTGAATGAGAATTTATAAATAAATTAAAAATTTGCATCTCTTTCGAAAGTTGTATGTAAATTTTAAACATTATTCATAAGAACCTAGCAAATCAGGTTATTGGGACGTTATAGTTTTTTGTAATGTAAAAGATTAAAGAGATTGGTCCTCTCGTTAAAATAAATCACAAAAAAGGTCTTATAAGATGAAGAAAGAGTATAATTTTGATGAGGTCCTTCTACAATTCTTTCTTTACGAAGTCCAAATTGTATGAATTATATTTTAATGTCCTTTGTAATCAACACCAGATTTGACCGCTTAAGATCATTTTTTTTCGGATACTATAAAACGATGGCCCATGGTAAACATTTTACTCCAATAATAGTCATTTGCGAAGAAAATATGATTAAAAATAAATGATTCTTCAAAAAACGAAATATAATAATGATTAAAGAACTATTAGACTAGTTCAAAAAACAAAAACATCATTTTAATGGCTGTATATTCACTAACTGATATACATATTAGGTCTCAAATGTATGGCTACAACAATCGTAAAAAACAGTTCAATAGGTTCTATGTAATGATCTCAGAAACAATCCCCGAAAACTACGATTTCAGATTATACTTCTTAATTCTATACTTAATTTATATTAAAATAACAATTTTTAACAATTTCAATAATGTGTAGACTTTATATATAGAAAAAAAAAGTTAAACTTAATGAGAATTACAAATTTAATATGAATTCATATTCATTTCAAATTAAGGAGAACTGCATGGTATCATTTGAAGAAGACCTTAACTTAACATATGCTATATGAATTAATTTTTATAAAAAATTAGTAATTTTGCTTATTGATATAAATTTAAAAGGTGTTTAATGCAAACCAGTAGTTTCTAACGTTGGATGGCGCTCTGTGCTGAGGGCAATCTGATTCTTAAGAGCAACAATTTCAAATTACTTAAAAATGTACTTTGCTAACTTTGGAACAAGTACTTTTAAGTAGTTCCGCCGTTTACGAACTTTACGGGCTAGGAGAGTACGATGAAAACAAAAAGATTGTTTATCTGAACAGTAAGAGTAAGAGTGTGTCTTACGTCGTTCGAAA